GTAGCGGTTAGGTGTATTGGTGGAGCTAACCCATCTGGGTGGATGACGAAAAATCATTGTCTAGAATTCACTAAGCGTTTTGTGAAACATGTGCAGGGCACAAAGGACAATCAAGCTCTTGTCCTACTTGACAACCACGTATCACACCTTGTAACACTTGAAAGAGTACCAGCTGGCCTAATGGTGGAGTGGATTGGTACACTTTTTGCCAAATGCTTAAATGATAATATAATAAAATTCTGGGAAATGTTTTAAGGAATTAAGTGTTTTGAGGTTGGAAAATGCCTCACCGAAATCCGAAAGGGCATTAAATTCGCGAAAACTGCATTCCAAAAAAAAAAACAGAAACATTTCGTTAAAAACAAGGAAAAGAGTGCTGGGTTGCAATGTGATATATATCCTCTTTCGCAATAAATTTGTCTTTTGTAATTTACCTCTGAGGATGTTCTTGGAGAAGAACGACAGTACTTAGGTGAGAAAAAACTACAGCGCCTTCCTTAATGAATTTCATCTTAACATCGAGAAACTGATTAGAGAATTGGAAAATATTATTATAAAAATAAATGGCCCTAATATGTCCATCTTATTCATATATATATATATATATATATATATATATATGAGAAAGTGGAAAAAAATTTTCGTGTGACGCGTTTCGTCTCTTAGGAGTGCGTCGGACTTGGGCTGAGGGCCGAAACGCGTCACACAAAAACTTTTTCCACTTTGTCATGCATCCTTCTTCCAAAACTGTTCTTAATAGATATTAATAGATGTTGCAGTGTGGTGTGATATATATCCTTTTATATGGTAGTGAATGTTGGAAATCTCCTCAAAGATAATGAGGAAATTGGAGGCAACAGAAATATTTTACAGAAGATTACTTAGAATTCCATGGACGGTGCGATAAACAACCAGGAAGTCTTAAAGACAATGCCGACAAAAAGAAAACGTATACTCAGAATCAGGAAAATACATCTGAATTTCCTTGGGCATATAATGAGGAATGAGGGCTTGGAAAACTAAACCCTCACATGGCATATTGAGGGCAAGAGAGATGGGGGAAGTCAGCGAGCTACCTACCTGACGAGGTGTATGAGTGGATGGCGGAATAGAGCAGAGAACCACAAAGGATAGGACGTTTTGGAGAGATATGATAGCAATATCTTTTAGGATTCTTCATATTTAAATTATCTATACAATGAAAGTCTACTTCGGTCATATTTGTGTCTATAAATTAAGGGAGAAAGACTTGATTAAAAAAATAATTATATTATGTAAAGTAACTAGCCATGCCACAATACTATTGGAGGTCCTTTACTCAGTCTGTCTGTCTTTCTGTCTCTCTCTCTCTCTCTCTCTCTCTCTCTCTCTCTCTCTCTCTCTCTCTCTCTCTCTCTCTTTTGTCTTTCGTTCGTTCTTTCTTTCTTTCACTTTCTCGAACCTGAGATTTTAATAACAAGCCACAGAAACCCGATATGTGTTATTTGTTTCCCTCGACTTAACACAGAGCTGGATATACCTTTCGTGATGTGATTAGATGTCAGCCCAAAACTATTCAGGTAATATACTTTCTGGTATATTTTGGACTCAGAAAAGGAGGCGGAAGTAACCGCACAGACCATTTGGATATGATTGGACGTATCGTTCTGATTTTATCGACAGTGCAGGTGATATTACCCCATTTGAAATGAATCCATAACTTAAATAGAAATTACTTCGTACAGTTTGCATGTTAAGGTATTCAAAGGCAAAACTCCAAGCATCAGAGGTTGTAAATCTATTGTGTGACAAGCTGTTCCTGCCCTTTCATACAGTTTTTGCTGACTTCATTTGGTATTCTATTCAAACAATGCTAACATCAATGTCGTTTGACTTCGGTGATCAGACAGAACTGATTCGTCCATATGACATGGCCTTAAGCCTAAAGAAAGAGCAGCTTGGTATAAAGTTGGACGTCTATGGTTGAAGTAAGACAACTGATTGATCAATAAAACATGGTGGCAGATCCGAGATTTAAAGTCGACTAGAGAGGACTAAAAGAACTGATCGCAACGCTCATAAAATGAATCAAAAGATTAGGTCATGTGTCAAAAAATCTTCAGATTTTAAGATGCAATTGCCTCTGTTTCTTTGTAAGGTGGCCTTTCATGTCCTGGACTTGTCTCGATGTTTTCTTTTTTTTTTTTTAATCGTTTTTTTTTCTTCTACTTATTTTACTTTCTATATTCGTTTCCTATCTATTAATCTTGTCCATTTTATCATTTATCTTATCATTTATACCAAAGCCTCAAAGTTTATTTCTCTCTATCACTCATACTCTCTGTATATCTCTATCTCTATCTTTATCTATATATTTATATGCCTATCTCTGTGTGTGTGTGTGTGTGTGTGTGTGTGTGTGTGTGTGTGTGTGTGTGTGTGTGTGTGTGTGTGTGTGTGATAATGAATAAAATTAAATTTCACTCATCTTATCCCTACTTTGATCTTCACGGAAATTATATACACTTGTCAAGGTACAATTGTAAAATTATTTACAGAAATCATATTTTTCCAGGTTATTGTTATATATATATATATATATATATATATATATATATATATATTGTTGTGGTAGGATCCACCTAATTTGCATAGTGGAGTACCACTATGGTACCGGGAAGAGAAGGGGGAATCAAGAGATTCAACCAGAGACTCTGCCCGACTGCGACTCAGTCAACACATTCTCCAGGAACGGTCTTACCAGGAATATACAAAAGACTATATGTAAATATTGTGTACACTTTCTTGTTTCAATAAATTTTGTTCTAAGTACATTTTGTGTTGCATTATTATTCCATGCATTAGTCAAGTTTCAACATATATATACAGATAGATAGATAGATAGATAGATAGATAGATAGATAGATTGGGACGCTTGTTTTAAAAAAATCCATAACTACAACGAATAAATGTAAAATTTTAAAGTAATTAGTACAGACCGCATTAACGCGTGTTTTTTAAAAAATCACCATCACAACTTGCGCAATAAATTTGTCTTTTGTAATTCATCTCTGAGGATGATCTTGGAGAAGAACGACAGTACTTAGGTAAGAAAAAACTACAGCGCCTTCCTTAATGAATTTCATCTTAACATCGAGAAACTGGTTAGAGAATTGGAAAGGATTAGCATAAAAATAAATGGCCCTAATATGTCTATATTATTCACTGAAACATGTTTGAAAGAGATGCCTATATGAGAAAGAGGAAAAGTTTTTGTGTGACGCGTTTCGTCCATTAGGGCTTCATCGAACTTGGACTGAGAGCCAAAACGCGTCACACTGTTCCACTTTGTCATGCATCTTTCCTCCAAAACTGTTCTTAATAGATAAAATTTATATATCGTTATCCCATATATATATATGTGTGTACATGTGTGTGTATTTGTGTGTGTGCGCGCGTGTGTGTGTGCGCGTATGTGTGTGTGTGTGCGTTTGTGGTGAGAAAGTGTGGACATAAAAATCAACACTGAATGGCGACTGCCAATTTTACGCTTCAGTCCGATCTACAGATAGGTAAATCGGATTGAAGCGAGAAATTGACATTCACCAAGCAATACTGATTCCTATATACACACTGTCTATATCTATAAACACTTTATCTCCGATACTGACCAGTATATAAAAACATACCAATTTTTAAAGAACATATTTATATGCTAATGGCTTTATTGCCTTGTTTAGGTTGAAATGAAAAACAACATATGAATCTTTAAAAATTGCTATATTGCAAAGGCTACTGAATTAAAAAAAAACATCTTTGAAAAAATACACTATTAAGGAAACAGAAAAATAAGAGAACAAGAATTAAGAAACGGAACATGACGATTGACATTGCATTTAAATTTTTGAAGATCAAAATTGACTGGGAAGCATGAATGCGGAAGAATGTTCCTCAGGCGAGAAGTGCGATAGAAGAAACTTTTAGCATAGAACTTACGGTTACATCTAGTCTTTTCAACTGTAAAATGACGAGACCTTGCCACCAATCTAGTACTACATGTAAATTTATAAAGTCTAGGTACCATAGAACAAAGTTCATCAGAACGATTACCATAAAACTATTTATAGAATATATGTGTTTATATGTGTTATAGAATATGTATGCGTGCGTGTGTGTATGTGCGCGTGCGTACAAGTGGCTTAATAAATCTGAAATCTGATATGTAATATTTGCTGAAATTCTTGATATGTAATTTTATTTGCTTATGAATTTTTGGTTCCCGTAAAAGTTGGCCGAGTTTAGTCACTTAGTTGATTTATACCAGATGCCTAGTGAATTAAGCCTGTGAATTAAGTGACAAGCAAAGAGAATGTGCTGAAAAATAAATATTTGTTGTGTGAGATAAATGATTTCTTCGTCATTCAATTTTGGATTTATTAATGTACATGCACATATATATATATATGTGTGTGTGCGTGTGTGTGTAAATTTTCAGATAGAGTATATCTATAAAAGGACAGTGAATAAAGACTAAAAGAAAAACTTATCTTTGAAGATCAAAGTTGGCTAGAAAATACTGAGTTCCATAAGTGAAAAGTGCTAGAATAACTGTTAGAATAGAATCAATGTGACTTGATGAGACCTTGCCGGCAATCTTGTACAGGGTTTAAATTTATAAAGTCCAGGTACCATAGCGAAGAGTTAATCCGAACAATTACCATAAAAGGCCAGTGGTAAAGTGACTGAAGCAGAGACGCGAGGTCAGGATCTATAATATTGCTGATTTTTCTTTGGATTTTATCAAGAATCTCTAAATATACAGCAGGAGAACAAAACTTCCAAGTGCAATAAATTTTAGGCAATGTTCAGATACTCACGCATAAATTTACAACTAAATTTGATGATTAGTGAAAATCACTTGAAGCAGAGATAATGAATAAACAAGTTAAAAAAAAAACAGACTCTTTTTATTTCAAAATAACAGTCCGAATTTTGAAGAATCTCTCATTAAATAAAGGACTTATGGCCATATCACGTTGAAACATTGGTTCCCGTACGATCACCGAAGTTACACAAGGCCGAGTTTAGTCAGCACTTAGATTGGTAACCACTTGGCAATACCAGATGCTGTAAGCTTGAATATGCGGATGGTGTAATGGATAACGGCTCGGAATTCTTAAGCGGATGTGTGGATGGTGTAATAGATAATGGCTCGGAATTGTTGATAAGGGAGGTGAGTTCCAATTCCAATTGGGTTCGTTATATTCACTTACGCACAAATACCCTTGAAGAAGATATGAATTCATCTCTTCTCCTCCCTGCTATGGGTTAATTAATAAGACTTGTATCACTAAACCATTATTATATCCCCTCCAAGAAATTCTTCCAATCTAAAAATATTTTCTGGCTTTTAATAACCTGCAGTGGATTGATAAGCCGCAGAAAACGAATCAATCAATCAATGATTAAATCAAGTTGTATCTTGAATCATATATTTAGGAAGATGAGTTCTTCGGCCTTCCTCTCGTGTATGCTGCATCCTGTAATCCTAGCCTTTTATTCAGAATACTAGGCGGTGCTGAAAAGAAACCCTCTCAAAAACATGTTTACTCACTTCCCAAAATCAGTATTTGGTTCATAACAAAGTCCTTTTTAAAAATTTCTTCTATTATATACTGTGTTTTTCTACAGTACGTGGGCGATCGTAGCTCTCCACGACTTCCTATCTTTTGTAGTTCTAATCAATGTTTGTCCCCTTACTATCCCTCTCAGTCCTTGTTCTATCATTCATTTACACAAGCTTATTCGGGAAAGTTAGTTGCTCTTTCTCCGTGAGCTTCTTATGTCCCGTAAGTGTCAAATTCTCCAACCCCCTTTTCCTCGTTATGGGTGCTAAAAAATGTCAATTGTCTCTTTCTGATTCTAAATACAACTGTCCTTTTTGTTTCCTTTTGTTTCCTTAAAACGACTTCTTTAACCACATGTTGTGTCCATGGTATTCTCAGCATCTTTCTGTAGAACCACATCTCTGTTGCCTCAAGTCTCCTTTTAATCTGTGAAGAAATTGTCAAGCATTTACAGTCATATAAGAGAATTGATATTACATCTGCTCAGCACGTTTATCTGAATTTCTTACGAAATTTCCCTGTTTCTTAATACTTTGCTTAGCTTTTGGAAGGCATCACCTGTTATTTCCGTGCGTCTTCGGATCTCGCTGTCATATTTCCCGTTTTCTGTTATAGCACTTCCCGGACAGTGACATTTCTGTACCTACTTGATTCAGACGTCATCAATTTGTATAAGGTATTTCAGATTATCCCTCTTGCTAACGATCATACACTTTTTTATGGTTAAAGAATATTTAGGCAGCGAGTATGTAACCAAACAAGTTTAATTATTAAGAACCGATAAGGTCAGACGAGTACATATTTTTTTCCAATTTGCGAATATGGTATTGAGTATTTTGCTCGAAATTGTGTAAAAAATTGTCTAAAGTTCATTTTTTTTTGTTGTTGTTTAAATACTTTCGACCCCCTCAGTCATTTTCAAGAACCAAAGTGGTGTCTGTCGTTAGAGTTCCTTTCTTTACATCCTGGTATTCTTTGGTGAAAGTTGGAAATAATCTACGGTAACATCATAATTTCGTTATTGAGACGAGGCCGAGCCAAAAGAATGCGATATTTTTATAAAATTTTCTATTTATTTTATTATTATATATATATATATATATATATATATATATATATATATATATATATATATATAATATAAATAAATATATTTTATTATATATATAAATATTTGTTATATTTTATCATATATATATAAGGCATGAGTGTGAAAGACTATGGCAAGGATTTGAATTCGGCTTGCCGATCCGCTTTTCTCTCCATAAATGATAGTACGCTATATATATATATATATATATATATATATATATATATATATATATATATATATTGCGCAGATCAGTACTGCCAACATTGTGTGAAAATTTTGTATGAATTTAATGGACAGTTATTGAAATATTAGAAAAAGTTACCCTGATAATAATTTGGCACGCATTCTATATATATATATATATATATATATATATATATATATATATATATAATTAAGTTATGAAAACTTGGTAATCAGTATAGGTAGTCCCAAGAAGGATGAAATCCTGAGAGCTCAATGTAAATCCAGAGCTAATATTTAAAAGAAGGTTCCATTATAATAATTTATTTCACCAGAGCCCTTTTAAAGGACTCTGGATCATCAGATAGCAATTCCAGAAGATCTTTTAGAAGTGCTATCTGATGCTCCAGAGTCCTTTAAAAGGCCTCTGGTGAAATAAATTATTATAATTGAACCTTAATTTGTCTGTTTTTCTTTAAAATATATATATATGTATGTATATGTATATATTCAAGCATGTTTTATTAAATAATCAAGGCATGTTATAACTATTTATTCCCAGTTAGAGAAACGATTGATATAATTATAAAGAATATTTACAACAATCCATCACTCCCTCCATTAAAAATTAAATCTAACATATTACGGAAAGTACTCTTGACTTGTACTACTCAGATCTTTTATGACCATCAAAATAATATATATGTACAACGTGATGGTGTATCCATGGATTCAGTTCTGGGACCAATATTTAATCCATTCTACATGGCTAACCTTGAAAATAAGATATTTAATTTTTTTAAAAATCCCTCTATGTACCTAAGATATGTAGATGATATTCTCATCTTAGTTTTAAAAAATATAGACGAAATCCATGAAGTACAAAACAACTTCCAAAATTTCCGTTCTTAAGTTCACATATGAACTTAACAATAACAACAGAATTTCTTTTCTTGATAGACACCAATAATAATACATTTGGTACGTCGCCATATAAAAAAAATAACTAGCATAAACACGTTCACTCTCAACTATAAAAGTGAATACCCTAACTATTGTAAAATAGCGATTATGCATAATTCTGTAAACCATGCAAAAGTTAACTCTTCCACAGAAAAAAGTTTTCTAGACGGAATCAAAAAACATTAAACGACCTCTCATTAATAATGACTTTCATAATTATATTATTGATAAACAAATTGGAAGCGTTATTAGAAATATAAACATAAACTAAAAAGAATTATAATACTTCCTCTAATAACCCTAAACATATCAACCTACTATACCGCAATTAAATACTCTCTAACTGCATACAAGATGAAAAAATCTAATATACCCACCACTTATCCCAGTAAAAAAATAAAACTAATTATATACTATACTAAAACTTATACAACCAACTTAATCATCTGCAATAACATTTCTACGCCATCTAATGTTTTGCAAAAGACCAACATTTTATATCAATTTAAATGTCCTTTAGGAGATTGTATCTCTGATGAAAAAGTAAATATATATGTTGATTTCACGACGACAACATTATCAAGAAGACTTACATTACATATGTCGGATTCAAGTTCTATTGCACATCATTTAAAAGAACATTCCTGTCCGCATTCACGTTTTAGAGAAATATTACTTGATCATAAACGTATACTACTATATTACTTGATCATAAACGTATTTCTGCTATGAAAATAAAAAACAAAGTCTTCTAATTCTTGAAGCGCTCTATATAAAAAAATGTAACAAACACTAAATAAGATTAATTATGATTATAGCAACAATGTTTTAACATGCCTATAAAAGCAATTTTGGGGGATACTCAAATTATATATATATTTTAGTTGCAGGTTGAGTATTTTATAACATTAATAATAAAAAATATGAATTAAGTTACATATTATTAACGTTAATTTTTAAATTTAATATAACGGAGCGAGTTTCATGCGCATTTACAAAAAAATTCGCAACTATCAATTACATTAATTTTTTGTCTTAACAATTCATCCCTGAAGATGATCTTGGTTGAGATTGAAAGTACTTGGGAAAATAGGAATGAGAAAAACTACAGCGTCTTTTTTGATCAGTTCATTATATATATATATATATATATATATATATATATATATATATATATATATATATGGGGAGTGTGTGTACTTGTGTTTATATGTAATAATAATAATAATAATCTACAACAAATAATTAAGTCATCAATAATAAATAATGAGTAAAATGTTAACAAACAACACAATAAAATAACCACAATTATTCCTACTCGATAGCCTCTAGAATAATTTGAAACAACCGTTACTGCCGATCCAATAACTTTTAGGATAATACAACAGAATTTGCTACCCATAATGCCACATTGAATATCATATATAAATAGTCGAATTAAAACACAACACAAATTGTCTGAAGGTTGCATCCAAGCATAAAACAGAGAGTTGCCGTTCTGTGTGGACCAACATGTCCACTTTTGTACTTACATACGCTCTATCCTTGATATTAAGCACTTTTATTCATGAATGCATAGCTTAAAACTGTTTTTTCATTCATATATATATATATATATATATATATATATTATATTGATTGATTGATTGATTGATTGAATAAATTACAAATATTATGTTTGGTTATTTTTATCATAATCTTTTGACATTAACGAATATTTTTCCTTATATTACAATTAAATAAAGCAAGAAATGTACTGTAACAGCGAGAATGACTTTTATTTACAAAGTACTTTCCATCTCTTTCTGAGATCATTATCAGGTGCAACTAATAATATATATAATTAATTAATTATATATATATATATATATATATATATATATATATATATATATATATTAGGAAAATCATTGACAAAATGGAAAAAAACTTAATGTGAGTGACATGTTTCGTATTTTAGGATTTCATCAGACTAAAATAATGTTTACATGCGCACTAAGAAGGGACGCTGAAATTTTAATCTTTTAAATTTAATTTTTTTTAAATATGTGTTTCTAAAAACGTATATATCATTTTCTCTCATATATGTATATGTGTGTGCGTGTGTGTGTGCGCGTGCGCGTGGACGTTTGTGTGTGTGTGCGCTTTGTGTGGTCTGATGATTACTTGACAGTCACTATGCACTGTTTATCCCTATTTCCCTAAATACTCTCTCTCCGATATTGAGCACTCTTCTCCATAAATATAGCAAATTTCAAACTTCAAATT